TGCGCGTGCGCGTGCGCGTTGCGTGTCATGTTATGTTATGTTAAATTTGTTTTATAAAATACCTCCTTACTTTTATTATGTTTATGTCATGTTAAAAATTGAAATTTGCTATTTATTAACAATGATTTCAAATATCCCATTTCGGGGAAATCATTGGTCAAATGTTTTTAATTATTTTTCTTATAATCTCCAACACATGAAAAGTTTTCTGAAAGTCGCAAAAGTGTTTTTCTTGAAACATTACAAATTTAATGTATTTGCTTGGTGTGGGGTTGTCTTACAAATATCATTATTACAATTATTACATTATTTACATACCTGCATTAATTTTCATCTTTTTATAACTCGTTAAATAAAAATATTTTAGTTTTCAATCTCTGAAAATTTGCTAACTGCCAAAATGTGAGCGGTAAAATACCTTCTATTTACTACCTCTTCGTTTGGAGTGGAGGTCATTTTTACCAGTAAATAATCCAGATTTTATAATATATTATTAGCATCTTGCTAACAATTTCTTCATTCAACTTCCATCTCTTTTTTAACTTCCTGAAATCTCATTGTAATAGGTAAAACTTTGTTTCACAGCATATACGTTCCGAGTTATGTTTTAGACACTTTTTATAAAATCTTTGATTAAAGGAATTAAACAAAATCAAACAAAACTGACTAACAGAAGTTATTATAAGAGCCCCGAATTAGCACACATAGCATTGGCCGCTCCCCGAGCATAACACCTTGCACGGCGATAGATCTAATACAGGTTTTTCCATTGCTGCTTATAAAAGTCCATTGCTGAACATAGGCCTCCCCAATAGCCTCATAGGGGGGGGGGATTTTGCCATGTTGCCACGCTTGTTAAGTTGTAACAGTTATTATTCTAAGTAGACCATTTTAAATTTATTAATACTCGTGTAATTGAAGTGTTTGTCTGTACGTAAAATTGAAATAACGGACTTCTGTTAAACTCAGGGGGTTATTTGAATACTGAGTGCGCGAAAAGTGACGACTAAAGGCATGGCGGGTCGAATGATGAAGTAGACAGTATTAGTGTGGTTCGAAAGAAACCAAAACAAAATGGCGGACGTGGCACGTGGCGGACTTTGGACAATATACTTGCTATGAAGTATCTTTGCTCTCTTGGGATAATTAAAAATGTTTTGAAAATAAAATCAAAACAAAGTTGTTAAAGACAATTATTTATTGAACATTAATTATTAATATGTAAAGACTTATTTGCACAAAGTCAAAGACAACCTAATACACGTTGGTTAAAATTCGTGCTTTACTCCTAATTTTAGGTATTTTATCAGGTTACACTTAGGTATATGTCAGCTTACTTATGCATCATCCAGTAGTTCATTTTCTCCCACATCACTATCTAAGAGCAATTATAAATGCTCCCATTTAGCAGTTTACTACGTCATGCATATAAATCTTAATTCTTTTGAAATAAAATTTCCCCTTTCGATAAGTGTAAGTATCAAATAAAGAGAATTATTTTTTATTTTAAATTTCAAAAGCATTCTTGCTGTCTTTGTCCTATTAACTTAATTATTGCTTACTTTGGTGTTAATTGTAAATTGATCATAGACACCATTTAATCACGTTTGTTATAAATCTTTTATTATATATATTTTTAATTACTGCCATCGTAGCATTTTTGCAAAATCCATAACTAGTTGAAAGCTTAGTATGAACTTTATCTCCTTTATCATCAAACCAAAACATGTTCATCATATTTTCACTCTTAACATCCTCAGTCTTCAAAACCTATGACATTTGCATTGTAATGTAGTGAGGAGAACACTAGCATCTCATCAAGCATTAAGAAACACAAGCACTCTGTCATGCTCAAGTCTTTCATTTGCTTAAATATAAATAAGTTTATGCCTGGCTTAATTAGTATTTATTTAAGGACATTTTTAATGTCCGTCTTGAGTAAAGTGAACAATTTACCTAAGAATATATATCTTTTAAGGCTTTTTTTGTTTTTATCGACGTGGCCAAACAATTTGTCTTCGAAATTGTACCATCTTCCACGATATTCATATTATACTGTACTAACTGCACATTCAGGAATATGTGGGTGTGCATAGTCAATGATATCAGTTTTATTGAAATATTATTTCTTAGTATTATTTTTGTTGCTCTATGTGATTATATGGTACCTTCCACAATTTATTAGATTGATTATAGTTTCGCAAATGGTTTGTGAGGTTGTATTATGTATGAGTATGTTATAATACATATATAAAATGCTGATTTTGTAAAAAAAAATATATTGATTTACACATTTACAATGGTATAGTGGGCATAAGAAAGTCACTTTTGTAAATTGTTTGTATTTTTAAAAGTATAGTTATTACACACATTAAAAAAAAAGTTTTGTTACCAAAATATGATAACGTTATCAAGTACATATTTTAAAGATTAATAATGCTGCTACAAAATGTATCTTTTTATATTAAGTTAAAGATGTACCACTATTAACAATTAATTGATACTAATTCTTGAAATTATGGAAAAGAAGCAAACTTTTGGAGAGGATTCAATTATCAATGTGCTCTTAAATGGGAAGTAGTTGAGTCTTGTGGATACCACAGTTTTTCTTAGTATTAGACATTGAAGCCGTATTTGTTTTATAAAAGAGAGCCGTACGTTCAATTTATATCTTAAATTGTAAAAGTCGCGTAGAGAAAAATTTAATGAAATAAATATATTAACTTTGGCATAGCAATAATGTATGTACAATAATGTATGTATTGTTGTACATATATTATATATATATATATATATATGTAATGTATGTACATAAAAACATAAAAAGCTTTCATAAGAATAAAGATGTTTATACTTTAAAATCTAAGAACAAACATAAGCTTGTAACACCAGTTACTAGACTCCACTGAGTCAGTAGTGCTTTTATGGGGCAACATATACGCTTTTAAAACAAAATTTCAGAAAATGTACAAAATTTGTCAATAAATAAGTTGAAATGTTTTATTTAAGGAAAAATGTACAAAAAGTGTTATTATAATAACAAAAAATACATCAATAATAACCCCTGTGATTGAGGTGATCGCCACCATGCCTGTACTATTAAAATTTATTTAAAAAATGTATAAACAAAATGATTGTAAAGTGAAATATGTTTTAAAAAAACGTCCCGCTGGGTTTCTTGTTGGTTCTTCCCAGGACAGAGGTATATGTAGTAAATAAAACATGACTTTCAATAAGTATTGTGTAATAATCTATATTTAATAATAATAATTCTATTGTATTGTAATCTCTGTAACATAATATATTTCCTAACTTAACTAACCAGTTAAAAAGAATGTGTTTAAAGAAATCAATTGATATTGTGCAAATATTGTTAAATTTAACACATCTAATGTTATTAATTTAGGCAAGAAATTTTTAAACAATAAACATTTTAAATATATCCGGTTTTTATTTTATTAATAGGAACTAGCAATTAGCACAAGAAATATAAAGAACCATTAATTACATTGCAGCACTTGTGCAATGTAATTAATGGTTCTGAACATATAAAATTGTAAAGTGCAATTAAGGGCGGGCCCAAAGCACTCTTAATTTTACGCCACCTGACGGTTGGGCACGGAACTTAACGTAAATAAAACTTGAGTTGCTCATCTATCTCTAGTATATAGGCAGTAATCTATGCTCTTTGTTATATGCTCTAAACGACAACAACGAGTTTTGGCAGGAACTTGGCCGTAGACGGATTGTCGCTCCTGTTTTGTCGCTTAAATAATGGTTTGAAGTGGATTTTGATTCGTAAAAGTGATGCGATTTTGTGAATTAAGTATCCGCACGTGTGAACTATGAGAGGAAACGACGAAACAAATGCTTTGATGTCGATATAAACCTCAAGTTATTTTGATTGCTTGGGCGCCTCATGAACTTGAGTGGCTGTTGTTATCAACTGTCCGCTGGATTGAGCTGTCGTCAAAATCTCCCAAGGGCTTCACAATGTGACGCATCAGCATATTGTGAAGAAAAAGAATATAAAAATGAAGATTCCGAAAGAAATGATAGGCTCAGAAGGGCTAGAATACAGAGCCGTAAAGCCAGTTATTAAAAAAAAACAACAACAACCGGACCGGACTATGGCAATTCAAACTTAAACTTTTTGTCAAGTAAGAAAAGAGGTAGTTTTGGTTAGTTTAATATAAATATGCATTTTTGTTTATATGATATGTAGATGGATGATAGTCCGACCTTGATTACCTACATTTTCCCTATATAAAAAAGTACCATATATATTACACTACTCTATGAAAAGTACTCTGCTCTGTATGTGCTCTGTGCCTACATCATATATAGTCAGTAATCCAAGGAAAGTAATATATCGTACAGTTAGTAATATATATACAGTAAATATATTATTTTCCTCTATGTACAGTAATCTATGCAGTAATCTGTGGACTACATGTACATTTCTGAAATCTGAGACTATTTTAATGAGTTGTTTCTTTATAATTTATCAAGACCCTATTTAATTCATTATCAAATTTATACTTTACAAGAAAACGTTTTGATTTTCTGTCAATTAAAGTGAAGTACAATCTAGAACATCATAACATCAGTATCTACTCCAAAAAACCGGTTAAGTGTGAGAAAAAATGTCTTTACAATGGACTTTTATTGCTGGTTATCTATACTTTGAAATCACTATTGTCATCATTTTAATACTACCAATTTTGAGTCCTCGGCGATGGCACCAATTTTTTAAATCACGCCTCTTCGCAATATTTCAACAACATGCGGCATGGTATTTTTATGTGTTTCTTGGCGTTTTGTCTCTATTTCTACTAGATGCTATAAGAGAAATGAGAAAATATTCACAGTCAAATGAATCAACTGTACATTTATCTACTGAAATGAAAGGACATATTAAACTGTTTCGGGCACAGAGAAACTTTTACATTACTAGTTTTGCAATATTTCTGGCATTTGTTATTAAACGCCTTGTCACAATGCTAATTATTCAATCAGAACTTGAGCTTAAAGCTGAAAAAATAATCAAACAAGCTGAGGAAACTGTTAAACAGGCAAAAATTACAGTGTTTCAAAACAGTTTGCAGGCAGGGGAAACTCAAAACTATAATGAGTTAAAAAATCTTCTTGAAGAAACTGAAAACCTCTTGGAGGAAGAAAAAATAAGAGTAAAAGAATGTCAAGAGGAGGCTACAAAATGGAGACTAAAATATGAAGAACTTACAAGTTCTTCAAGTGGAAAAGGTGATCAGTGATCAAGAAGTTTAAGACTGTACTTAATTCTTTCAAAAAGTTTTTTATTAAAGGCAAAATTATAGATGTATATCATATTAATAATAAGGATAAGCAAATTAATAGCAATTTTGAGATTAAATTGAACTGCTTGTTTTGTGTAAATAAGAACTGATGAGGAAGTAATAACCAAAATATAAAATTAAAGCTTATATAGTTTATTTTTATCTATTTTTTTTATTTTGTATGTTTTTTATATAATATGTAAATTGAAAAATATTAATTTGTTAAGGATTATTAAGTTAGGTTTTTACAAGAATGATGTACTTATGATAAGAAAATATAAAATCTATCTATGTATATAGGCTTTAACTTTACATTTATTGTATTGAGTGATAATTTCTTTAAATGTTCAAATAATAATTTTGGATTGCTTATTTTTTATTAATATTCATTTCTATCTATATTAATACATATAATATTATTTACAACCTTCTCCCAATTTTCCAGTTGTTCTTTAATACTAAACGAACATGCTTTGCTGTGTTGAGAAAAATTGATTATTCTCTTTATCTATGAGCCAGCTCATGACTACAATCTATTTTGATATCCTGTATTTTGTTGTTTTCCTGTAATTATTTCGGCTAATCTTTTAGAATAGGTAATAAAGGAGTAAGATCTGGTGGCAGGGTTATAGTATACTAGCCTAGATATTATTTAGCAATCTTACATTGTGCAGTGTGCATTATTTTGGGTTATTAGGTTTATCCACCCTAGGGAGGTTAATATTCACTTTTGTTAATCTGACTTTTTACCCTAGTACAGTTCAAGTCATACACTTAAATATTAATTAATTTTCAATAACCACAAACTTTAATAAAAATGATATTACATATGGCCGTTACCATAACTGTTGCAGCCTATTTAAGTCCATGCATTATGTATTAAAATCAAATTAAATTTTTTGTTTTAAATTGCCATATTATTAATTTATAAATTCTGTAATATATCCAGAAAATTACAAACACTCATTTCATTGTTGAGTAGACATAATTTGATATCCTGGATTTCTTTGCTGCAACATGTGGGAAAAAATTTGCGTTTATTTGCAAGCATTCCAAAACTGTTACTTTTGGATGTTTGTCTTTAAATTAATTTTAAATTATTTTGTGCCAAGATTCCAATGAATCTGCAATCCTGTGAGGTACTCCTTTTATTTCAGTGCTGTACTTTTAAACAAGAAGTATGTATATGTTTTTAGAGGCATGCCAATTTCTAAACAGTATCTTGGGCCAGTTTTTATCATGTTTGTATTAATGTGTATACAGTGTACACAGCCGAGGGAGAAAAACGTAAGGAAATGTCATAAAGGAATTCCGATTATCCACCCCAAACGGAGTGGATAGATGAATACGCATTACGGAGTATCCACCCTATGGTGGATTTTTTCTAAAAATCCTAAATTATTTTAGGGTAGATAAACGGAATAACCCGTTACTGTTTGCACCTTTGTATTGAACATACTAGCAATTTATAACCATTTCATAGCCAGAAGTTTCAACAAGAGACCAGAAAAGTGAGGAAGAATTTTTCGACTATATATCCCAATACTGTTTCTATAATCTTACATGTATCAATATTTTATTACCTATTAATCTGATTTTAAATCTGATTTGTACTGTCAGGATGTCCGATACTTTTAAATAAAATATGAACATTTATCAACACTTTCATTAACTTAAATTGTAAATTAGATAAAACTTATATTACGAATCTTATCGCACTGTGTTAAGCTAACACTAAACGCAATAAAAATTAATTTTATACAATAACATATGTTATGTCAATGTTCATCATTATCATCATCATTACAGCCCTTCACAAGTCCACTGCTGAACATAAGCCTCCCCCAAGTAACGCCACAAAGCACGGTCCTGAGACACCTGCATCCATCGACTTCCTGCATGTCTTACCAGATCGTCACTCCATCTAGTGGGGGGTCGCCCTACACTACGCCTACCGGTACGAGGCTGCCACTCGAGAACCTTTCTTCCCCATCGGTTATCGGTTCTTCATGTTATATGGCCGGCCCATTGCCACTTCAGCTTACTAATCCGTTCGGCTATGTCGGTCACTCTGGTTCTACTGCGGATATCCTGATTTCTGAGTCTATCACGCAGAGAAACTCCGAGCATAGCCCTCTCCATAGCTCGCTGAGCGACCTTGAGCGTCCTCATACGGCCAGCGGTGAAGGACCACGTCTCTGATCCGTAAGTCATCACTGGCAACACGCACTGGTTGTACACTTTAGTTTTCAGAGATTGAGGTATACCTGACGTGAAGATGTGTCGTAATTTCCCGACTTCAAGTAACGGTGTTCCACCCGCTTTCAGAAGCTCCACTGTAATTCCATCCTCGCCTGGGGCCCTGCCGTTTTTAAGGTGCTGGAGAGCCATTCTAATCTCGCTCAGACTGACGTCCGGGATATCATCGGAATAGTGTCGGGTAAGACTTGCTCTTGGATTGTTACTCACACTTGCGTGTGGCTCCAACGATGATGTGTACAGCTGCCCATAGAACCTCTCAATCTCACTCAAAATCTCAGGTGTCTCGGAAACGATGCTGCCACACTCAGTCTTCAGCTTTGACAGTTGGCTCTTTCTGGCAGACAGATCTCTGGGAAAGACTTTGGAGCCCTGGTTCCGCTCGATCGCTTCTTTAATACGAGCAGTATTAAAGTTGCGTAAGTCTCGCCGCATGCATTTGGAGATCTGTCTGTTCAGTTGCCTGTATGCTGTCAAATCTGTTGACGATTGCAGCCTTATCTCCCGTCTAACAGCCATGAGATTGAGTGTGATCGGAGAGTTTTTGTGTTCTTCCGCGGCTGATATTATAATATAAATGAATACATGGTTGGTAATAAACCCTGGGATTGAGGTGGTCGCTTCAAAGTTGTTTCTAAAATAAATTTTGTAAATAGTTTGTAACCAATCATATTGTAAAATATATGTTTTTAAAGTCCCACTGGGTTTCTTGCTGGTTTTTCCTAGGACAGAGGTTTTTTTCCGAACCAGTGGTAAAGTAAAAATGACTTTCAATAACAATTACATGTGATCTATATTGAATAAAAAATAATTCTATTCAATTTTAGGGCTGACACCATAATAAAAGCTTTTCATAACGATGTGTACAATGTCTGCCTTTGGTATTTCTACACTCTTTTGTAACACACTGTATATTAATTTTTTTCTCCATAATCAACCATCAAGCTCGGTGGATATTTTTATTTTATTTTTATTATTTTGATCTTGATTCTGAACAAGTATATTATATTTATAGTAAAAAATTATGTTTTTATAAATTCAAAAATGTTTGACAATTACCCGTTTCGAGAATAGATCACTTTTAGAATTGACCATTCTGCACAAGCCATTTTATTTATAATTCGTCTAAAGAATTTACATAATTTCTCGATAATTTTTGTAGAAAATTGAATATTTATTTTTAAATTAAGAAAAATAACAATACGAAAATATGTTGGTACATAATATTTTCAAAATAAGAAAACAAATATATAGAGATATTTTAATAATAAGAACATTTTAAAAATACGTATACAAAAATATAAGCGTGCGACGGGATCCGAATCGCCAGCCTCCGGGGTACCTCGCAACTGTACAACGGCGCGCTGGGCCAAACGTATATTATACAAAAGTGCGAAATTACGCATTTATAAGTAATGTATGTCGCACATCGGCGAAATTCATGCGGTATGTACTCCGCAGTGAGCAAAACTACTCGTCCCCCACTCATCTGCACCCTCATTCACCCCCTCTAGTACATAAAAGTCGTCTATTCACCGCGTCTTAAAGAAGACAGTTTGATATTCACCAAAGCATCATTCTCAAGGTTCTAGATCTGAAACAGAAAATAAATCTCAATTTGGCGGATGTAACACTCAAACAGAAGCATCTTCTTCTAGAACTCACATGAATCTATAAATAATGGCGAAACATCATCTTCCAGAATTGATCGCAATAGCCTAGGCCTAGTATCTCCTTATGACATAAGTCCTGTACCAAAAAATCTGAAAGATGTCTAATAGGGGTAGAAAAACTGCTGGGGCTTCTGTTATAATTTCGTCACCCCACAAAAGAGACCTTGTTTAAAAAAATAGAAGAATATTGAAAAAGAAAAGAAGACTAAGGATAAGAAAGTCAAAGTAGAGAAAACAAAACGGTAGAAATAAAAAACAAGACAAGAAAACAACTAGTGACGATGAAGTGATTGACATTGAAGGTGGAGAGGTTTTCCAGTTTGGTTCAGACTCTGAACCAGATATCATAATCGGCAAAGAAGCTCCTGATTCTGCAGATGCATAATGTATGCTCTACCACTTTTTTCAGAAAATTCAGGAAACTCGGGATTAAATTCTTGATGTATGGGCTCTGGGCACGTAATGGCTGTGCTGGGCCAGAATTTGATAGTTGGATTTGAGACATTTGGATGTAAAATAATTCATTTCTTACTCTTACCAAAGTTAATTATTGATTTAGATAAGCATTTATGCTTATAATTCTCTAAAAAAGATTGTTGTTATAGCCCATATTTTAGTACCTGTTCCATATTTAGTGCCAATTTTATTTAGTTAGTAGTTTAGTAATAAAAACATAACTGTTATTTTGCTATTTAAAAATATGTCTCAATATTATAACATTAATATAAAGTTGATTTTTAAACGGTTTTTAATTTTTCACCTCAAAACAAAATGGTAGCCCATATTTGTTTATTCTCCTCTATAGTTTTTCTGATTCCAGCAGTTCTAAAAACTTGATTGTATTTTCGCTACTCCACTCGAAAGGCATTTTGGCAGATCGTACTTATTTAAAAACAAGACGGCACGCACATCCGTTCTTCCAGGCGCTTGGCGCGAAGTGAGCGACGGAACAGAATGTGAACACTCACTGCCGCTCGCGCTGCCCGTCCTTTGACTTCCGCACGAAAAACCGACATTTGAGCGACC